GTTTCTATTTTCCAAGAAGAGACGCTGTGTGTCTCCGTTGCCCCTTTATTACCGCAGGATTCAAGATCCTCTCTAAAACAGCTTGGCACTTGGAAATCCACAGGCCAGGAATACCTTTATGGTCCCTATTAACTACTGTGTTATTTACACTTTCGCTGGTGCTTCTCACTCAATACCCGTATCACATACGATGGATAACACAGCCTCTCTCCTTGCCTTTCGCTGGGTGTTTTGGGTTTATATTTTGCATTTCTTTGCTTTACAAAAGGGAAAAGGGCGGGGGGGGGGAGAAAAAAAAAAAGCAGCTGCTCTGTCTCTTACACCCCTCTCCTCCCCAGCTCCCTAAACCAACACATTAAGCAAACTTTAAAAACTGGGTTCCTATTACAAAGCAGCGCCCAGGACTAACTGCTTTAAAATTACTGCATAATTAGATTTAGTTGAATTTCACCATTAATTAGGCAGCCGCACTGCGGGGAGCCTTTGAAATCTGAGAAAATGGGAAAAATCATCTGAAGCACGTTTTTTAAACCCAACTTCAATAAATCCTGACAAGGCCTGCATTTCTCCGTGTATCTCTTTCCATTCTACAAAGCAAAGCGAAGCGAGCACGTTCCTCAGGACCCACTAAAGTTTTAATTAAAAATAAATAAATAAATAAATAAAAATAAAATAAAAATAAAATCCATCTCCATTCCCACATCCCGCCCGCTATCAGCGGCGGCGGTTTACGGAGCGCTTCGAAACTGTCCCCCTTTCTCCTTCCCTTTTCCTCCCTCTCCCTCTCCCCCCCTCCCCACTTTTTTTTTTTTTTTTCTTTTAGGGGGGCGGGAGGCTTTTTAAGGCACCTTCCCGAGGATCCCGCTGTCTCTGCAGGCGCAGTCCCTAAATATAACACCCCGGGGTAGGTCTGACTCCGCTTCAATGGCCATTGAGCCGCGCTCGCACGGGGGAGATGCTTCCACAGGTCATTTACATGCAGATGGGATACGAGCTCCGGGGGAAGGTACCCCCGCCGGCC